TATATAAATATATATTTATATATATTATATATATTATATTATATATAAGACCTGATAATTGCTCTACCCCCCACTCCTCTAAAAAATTAGCTGATAAATGGTGCTCCTCTAAGTTGAATTAATTGTCCAGAGCGAAGCGTAAGACTCCTATTCTCATGTTATTAGCTAAAATTTGTCTGTCTGTCTACTCATATGCCCAATAATATACTAGTATTAGATGATATATATGATATATATAATAGCACACCACGTGACCGTCCATACTAGAGGCCAGACTAGAATTTTGTTTGTCTGTCTATCCACGTGATAAAATATTACCGGTATCATGTGATTACGTTATAGTACACCACGTGACTATCTGTATTAGAGGCCAGACTAGAATTTTGTTTGTCTATCTATCTATATGATAAAATATTATCAGTATTATATGATTATGTCATAGTATACCACATAACTATCTGTATTAGAGGCCAGACTAGAATTTTGTCTGTCTGTTCACCCACGTGATAAAATATTATCAGTATTATGTGATTATGTCATAGCATACTACGTAACTATTCGTACTAAAGACCAGACTAGAATTTTGTCTGTCTGTCTATCTATGTGATAAAATACTATGATAATTGCTTTTTATACACCGTATTTACTTTTTATAATTATATATTATATTGTATATATATATAGCTTTAAGCTCTGAACACATAACAGTTCCTGTTAGTCTAGTAATATCTATATTATTAAGTATTAAAAAATTTGTAAATATTATTACTAAAACTGCCCAATTTAGCTACTTTAAAACTACTTTAAAATAGCTATAAAATAACTATAAAAATAACTATATAGTTATTTTATAGTTGCTATAGTTTTATATTTACTATAGAGTAACAATATGTCTACTACTACTTGCTACTACTTTACTACCACTTTGCTATAACATTACTATACTTTTACTACAATTTTATAAAATTTTTTTTTAAAAAAATATTTGAAATTTTTTTTTTAAAAAAATTGTAATAAAAGTATAGTAATGTTATAGTAAAGTGGTAGTAAAGTAGTAGATGTTATATGGTGCACCAAGTCACTTCTCATTAAAAATTATGTATTTTTTAAAAATCTATAAAATCTTAAGTTTTAAATATTTTTTCAAAATATAACTGATAAAAACTATTATTTTTCATTAGTTCTATTCAAATTATCGGTTAGAATTTTTTTAAAAGCCTAAACATTCAAGTTATAAGCAGCTAAAGTTTAGAAATTTTATACGATTTATTATGTAATTTATAAAATTGGCGCCATGTTATTACATATAGTTTTTATAGAAATTGGCATCACATATGCAATCTACATAAAATTGGCATGAAAACAAAGATAAATTAATTCTTAAGACCGTATTTAATCAGTTTGATCAGTTTACTCAAAAATCGGTTTTATAAGTTTTTTTTTTCTTGTTAATATAGTGTGACAGGATAGTGCAATACATAGTGTACTTGCCCGGGATATAAGTCAGGTATATTATAAAAAAAAAAGTGTCAAATAATAGGGAAGACTTCGAAAAGAAGCAAACGAGATGTCATGTGCTCATATGATCGTCAATATAGGTTGGATCATAGGATCGGGATATAAGAGAATAAATTAGTGACGTAAAAATTAGATAAGTTAATGATGTGTAAATTAATAATCGAGATATAAAAAATGTTGTAATAGAGTTTGTAAAAAACGGCGTGATTAGTAAATTAATTAAAAGTTAAATATGTATGATCAAAATGATATAATTAAAATGGTCAAAGTAAGTATAGTAAAGTGAAAAAATAAAGTAAAAGAGATCAGAAGTGCTTTTCTCTCAAATAATATACTTTGAATGTTGTATACTGAGATACTTACCCAATACACATTGCTTCACCTTTGAGATAGACGTTAGTAGCTGTGACTACTATTAACCCTGCGACAATAGGGTTTTAGTATGTATATATGTTTTTATATTTAGATTAAATATTTATTGTAAATTTTTTATGTGATACTAATTTAACAATTTAACAAAGTTGATTTAATGCTATGGATAATTACAATTATTTAATCAATCTGTGTTTTTTTTTTTAATCTGTACCTTTTGCTTAAAATAATAGGGCTGCAAAGAATACTTATTATATATGGTATGAGTTTTGATTAAAATTTGACTTTGATGCATATTTTATAGAGTTAGAACTTCATTAATTAGGGAACCATTTATATTGCTGTGCATCTTGATATTTTGAGTTAACTTAAAATCTGCTGAAAATTTTTATAGGCAGTGTAATGTTAGACTTCGTAACAATAGCATTATATACATATACTTTCAAGGAAGAACAGAAGGTAGTAACACAATAGGGCAAAATTCTCTTGGATATTATTATGAAAGTGGGTACTTTTAGAAAGCATTTGAATAGTATTTAACATCTGCTGAAGGTAGTCACCTAGTGAATAATGTAATCTTAGTCTTGTTATAAAGAAGACATTGGCACTGCGAAGAATAAAAAGAAAGCATTTGATTTACATTTAAAATCTGCTAAACATAGTTCTTCTGGTAGGAAACTTTAATGTTGGACTCCTATAGTATAATATGGGTATAGGTATCACAGAAGATGAAAGAAAGTATTTGAGTCGCTCATATTAAAAAGGTAAAAACTATTTTTAGTTTATTACAGTATTAGGACTGTAATCTGAACTAATACGTATGGGCTAAAAATTGAAACTTATTTCGTTGATGACCGATCTATCGCTGTATAAAGATAATGCATATTAGTTGAGAATATAAAACCATTTAACCAAATTTGAATTATAACCAACTAGATTAATTCGGGTTTATTTAATATATTCTCTAAAAAAGGATCATTCAATTATAAAAAATTTAAGTTTTACTTCTCAATATTGCTGTACATATCAGTATTGTAATGCTAGTATTTCTTTAGCATAAGAATATAAATTTTAAGCTTCAATTCACCTGAATGTTCCATATCTTAATAATTTTCTATTGTATATTATTTAATAGTATATAATAGCGGTACAGCTATATTACCTGTAGGTATAATTAGGTTAATAAGCAAAAGAAATATGTAAATCGATTATAGAATTTCTGTCTCATTAACTACTAAAACTAATTTTGCAGTAATGATGGTTTTCACTTTTAGTTGTTTCAAGAACTGATAAAAAAAAAAATTATATCTCATAATAGTCTAGGTTCTTTAAGGTCGATAATGTAAATATTTACAAGTTTTCCTTTTTATGTATCATTATTTAACAACAAAATACTAAGACTTTTTAAAAAAACTAATCCAAATTTATGAATCTAAATACATAGTCGATATGATTTTCAAACAAAAATAAGCGTGAATCATGTCTTTATCAGTGATATCATGTATAGTAGAAGCTTAATATAAAGCTACATTTTTTCGCAAAAGCCATGTTATTAATTATCTTACTTTTACAATATTATCTCGTTACATTCTATATTCGTAAATTTTAACAATGCCAAAATCAAAACTCAAAAATGCTGCAAAAAAACATATATTTACACAAAGTAGAAATAATAATAGAAGATTTTTAGCTGCAGATCCAGAATATAACAATCTAGAATATAGTGATTCAGAACTTTTAGTCTATGAATCTGAGAGCAGTAATGAGGAGGAATTTAATAATGGGGAGATGGAACTTAGTGAAGAAGAAGCTGAACGGTTAGTTTATGAAAATAGTTCATTTTATAATATTCAATGGGATAATAAAGCATCTGGTGGTCAGTTACCATATTATTCTGGTGGTTCAAAACATACTCAGCAATGCAAGAATAAAGGATTACAGGAGGTGGCACAAGGATCAATGAGTTTGGACAATTTTTTTAAACCTGTAAAAAAATTAGAAGTTAAATATAAAATGTCAGACTCAGATATAAGCGATTTAGATATAAAAAATAACAGTTCTATTTTAGAGAAAATAAATAAATTAAGTAATAATCTCAAAGACATGAAAAATATGAACACTTATGAATATCTCTGTCTTCTTGCCGTGCATAAATACCTTGCTGCAATCTTCAATCATGAAGAGTCACATTCCCGTGTAAAACTAAATCTTGAAATATTACAACAAGTTTTTCAACGTGGTCTATGGATAGCACGTTATATCCGTGAGTGGACAAAGAGTTAGATTACAACCGAAACTTTATCTGTCTCTAAGCAAGAAAAATGAAAATACATACCAACTCTTATTGATAATGAGGATGTACAAAGTTCTTGCTTGCGTTTTATCCGTACTATAGGTGAAAGAATAATCGCTGAAAAATTTCAGAATTATGTTCAGAACAATGTTTTACCACATATTACCAGTTCTCGTATTTCAATTTCATTAGAGACAGCTCAAACTTGGCTTCATCGTCTTGGCCTCGTATATCAACGGCATTAACAAGATATTTACTACGATGGGCACGAACATCCTGATGTTGTACAATATCGTGCAATATTTCTTGAAAAAATAAAAAATCTTGAAACTTTAATGCCACAATTTGTTGGTGAAAATATGAAAATAATTATTAACCCTGAAATAAGTGAAGAAAAACAAATGCATATTCTTGTCACTCATGATGAGTGTACATTCTATGCGAATGATAGTCGTCCTTCGGTGTGGGCTCCTCTTGGTATGCTGCTACTACGCAAAAAAGGAAAGGGTAAAGCACTTATGATTTCAGAGTTTTTAACTGAAACTCGTAGTCGCCTCACAATTACTTCTGCAGAAATAAATGAATTAAACCTACCGCCAATATTCTCACAAGAAGCTTGTGTTATTATTAAACCTAGAAAAAATGATGACAGCTAGTGGAATACTTCTGACTTGCTTACACAAGTAGCCAATAAAGCAATTCCTATTTTCGAAACAACTCACCCAAACTGTATTGGTGTCTTTGCATTTGATAACAGCACCAATCATAGTGCTTTCGCAAGTGATGTGTTATATACTAAAAACATGAATCTTTATCCCAGTGGTAAACAGTCAAGATTACATGATGGTTGGTTTATTAATGAACAAGGCGAACAAATTACTCAGCCAATGATCTTTCCTGAAGATCTTCCTCCTGATGATTCTAATTATATCTTTCATGGTCAACCAAAAGGTATTCAACAAGTACTTCGTGAGCATAACTTATGGCCTACTAGTGGTCTAAAATTAAAGTGTGGAAATAACTATTATAATCCAAGTACACCTAATTGTTGTGCGTGTCACCTTTTGTCTGCACAGTCTGGTTTTATTATACAAAAATCAGCATTAGAGAAACTTATCGTTGAACAAGGTCATGTTTGTGTATTTCATCCTAAGTATCACTGTGAGTTAAATTTCATTGAACGATACTGGGGTGCTGTAAAATGTTATTCACGTGAGCATTGTGATTATTCATAGTCTGGATTACAAGTTACTATACCTGAAGCACTTGATTCAGTATCACTTACAACTATACATCATTTTGCATGAAAGGCATGGCGTTATATGGATGCTTATAGACATGGACTTACTGGCCGGGTAGCAGAATATGCTATACGTAAGTATCATTCTCATAGACGTATACCTAATGAAATTGATTTAGAGTTAGATTAATAAATACTAATAGTGTAAAATTAAGAATAGAAATTATATACTTATCATTTGCTTCGTATAAGTTTAAATAAGTAACACAAAAAAAAAAAATCTATACTTTTGTTATATTGTATTTAGCCTGTAAAAAGTAAATTGTTAAGGGGAGGTATGACATATAAAACAAAACACATTATATATGTTGGTATATTTATCTAGGTTTCCTAGATCTATTATAGTGTTGGGATGATTATAATTATTTAGTAAGAACTCTGCTGTGTTTAATTTAAAATTACACTTTTAAAAATAGATAGATTTGAAATAACATCAATGCGCACTTCTATAGCTTCTTAAATTTTTTATTCTCTTATAATTTATTATAAAATTTACAACACAAAAATTAATTTTCTAAAGATCTTTTTTTGTCAATTTCGTCCCTTTTCTCAGCACCTAGCCTATATGAACCTTTAAAAATTTTCCGGTTCTTTCCGGGGAACATGCTCGTATTTTGAATTCATTGATTGTCTACTTCG